TCAAGGAAAGGTTTATCTATGGAAGAAAATTTTCCTTGTTGGTTACTAGAGGTGGGGCTGGGGGAACACTGCTAGATAGGTAGAGACAAGTATTGATTTAGGTGAAGAGAAGGGCAATGTACCAAATGCGAGTAATCAACACAGTGGCACTGAGGATGAGGAAGAAATAGAGCAGTGCACGGAAGATAGAGATAACAAAGATGAATAGGGCTGAAAGGGGGCAAGGTTGTAGTCACTTCTTGGCCACAGCCAGCTACCCAAAGGGAGCAAGTAGTTGGACCTGTGGGCTCAGGACCACAGTCACAGGAGACGTCAAGCTCAATTGGTGTAACATTATTCCACTTCCTACTTTGGTGAGTAGTGACTGGGATCTTAAAAGCTTGCAAGTGGCTATCTAGATACAGCAATGGGTCTCTCCTCATCCAGAGCAAAGAAGAATGAAGAAAACCAAAGATGCATGGAAAGAATTAGTCCAAGGGACTGGTATACCATGCGATTCTCATCCTATATGACTGTGAGACCAGAAGAACTAGATGGTACCTGGCTACTGCTGTCAACCTCTTACAGGGGAATCTATGTAGTAGCTCCTGGACAGAGTGGGAGAACAATGTGGAACAAAACTCAAGATCATTAAACAAACAAACAAACAAAAAAAAAAAGGGAGCAGGTTTGCTGGTCTGATAGAGCTTGATGGAACCACTGAGACTATGGCCCTTAGCTGCCCTTCAGGTCTGGAATTGAACCTACTCCTGTGGCTTCCAGCCAAACAAAAGACAGGTATATGAGCTGAACATTTACATAAGGCAGATGCACTCCTTGAAGAGATCAATCATGGGAGAATAGAAGGGCTGTGTATGCACAGGGAGACAACTCAAGGAGCAGGAGTACATGGAGGGAAGGACACAGGGTAGAGGTAACTATGGAGAGGAAGTGGGAGGGGAGCTGTTGCATTGTGGGAAACTGCAGTCAATGTCATGAGACAAAGTATATGTGAGAGGCTGTATGGAAAGTAAATTTGCTCTGTAAGCTTCACCCAAATCACAATAAAATTTTTTTAAAAAATTCCCCCCCAATTTTAAGACGTTTTGGCAGGATTTTACTTGTGAAAGGGCGAGTGAAAAAGGTATAGTTACTATTTATGAAGCATCTCTTCTGTGGCAGACTGCTAAATTCTTAAGAGCGCTATCACTTTACCTTCTCACAATAGTCTTTGTGAAAAAAGTAGTTACTGAATGCCATTATTAGTTCTGGGTTGAGCAACTGGAGGCAATGCAGCCTGCTTTGATGACATGGTCAGATGCTGTCCCTCAAGTCCCTAATAACGGGTTCCTTGTTGGCTGACTTCAGTCATTGGAACATGTTTTATATGAATACAGACTTCTGTGTGAGTGTCTTGAAAAACTTAGTTCTTTGCAGAGAAGCAGCATCCACTCAGATGTAGCACTTGTGAGTATGTGTGTGATGTTGGCTAGCATATCAGCAGGGTGACCTGGTGGGTGTGGCAGTTACAAGAGATGTTTAATGTTTTTTTTTTTTTTTTTTTCCAATTGTGTTTTGGGTGAACGTTTACAGAGCAAATTCATTTTCCATACAGTAGTTTATACACATTTCATGACGTTGATTGCAATCCCCATTATGTAACACCTCTCTTCCCACTTTCTCCCTGTGATTACCTTTACCTCGTGTCCTTCCTTCCTATGCATTCCTGCCCTCTGAGCTGTCTCTCTGTGCATATACTGCCCTTCTGATCTCCCATGTTTGATTGTTCTAAGGAGTGTATCTACCTGGTGTAAATATTCGCTTTATACACCTGTCTATTGTTTGACTGGAAGCCATGGAAGTAAGTTCAATTCCAAACTCAAAGGGTAACTAGGGGCCATTGTCTCATACCATCTTTTCTGTTTTTTTTTTTTTTTTAACAAAGCTGCCCAGAGCAAAAGGAGCCTTAGTGGCGCAATGGTTAAGCACCTGGTTGTTCACCAAAAGGTCAGTGGTTCAATCCTACCAACTGCTCCACAGAAGGAAGATGTGACAGTCTGTGTCAGTAGAGTATACAGCCTTAGAAACACTGTGTTGTTGTTGTTGTTGTTGTGCTGTTGAGTCGGACCTGACTCATAGCGACCCCTCCTTGGGTTGCCGAGGTGGTATCACTACGGAAGTAGATTGCCCAACCTTCCTTCCGAGGAGTGCCTGGTGGGTTTGAACCACCAGCCTTCTGGTTAGCAGTCAAGTGTCTTAGGCACTATGCCACCAGAGCTCTATAGGGCAGTACTACTATGTCCTATAGGGTCGCTACGAGTCAGAATCAACTCTACAGCAGTGGGTTTGTTTTGTTTTTGCCCAGAGCAAACTGAAGAAGGGGCTTCCAGAATTCATTTCCTGTGAACTGAAATTCATAAGTTTAAATACCCAGTTCTAAGGAAATTAGTTACTTAAAAGCCCATGTGAATAATCTCAGGCAGGAAAAGCTTGAGAATGTTTCCCTCTTTTCATCTGCAGGGCCTTATAGGCCTATAGGCCTGTCTCCAAGATCCTAGCACACATATTTAAATGCACTCAGTGATCCACATGGGTTATTACATTTTTGCTGTAAAAATAGTTTCTGGGATCTTTATGGCATTGCTTTTGAAATTATGCATGCCAATTTGTGGTATCTAAACCTAAACCAAAAAAAAAAACAAAAACAAACTCAATGCCATCAAGTCAGTGTCTGAGGCAGTATCACTACAGAAGTAGATTGCCCAATCTTCCTTCCGAGGAGTGGCTGATGGGTTTGAACCACCAGCCTTCTGGTTAGCAGTTAAGTGCCTTAGGCACTATGCCACCAGAGCTCCCAGGCTAAGAGCCTACAAGATAAAACAAGGCTATACATCCTGCTCTGGGATAAGAATCTGGGCTAGTGGGGCCTGAGCCCTGGTATTTATGCTTTAGAGGTCCCACCTGGTGGCCTCCAGCCGTGCCCTTCTCCATAAGTAAGGAATCTGCCAGACCTTGCTTGACCACCCCAAATCCATGCTCTCGGTACCCCCCGGGGGGAGGGATTTCCACAGAATTGATTGCTCTTCACACTGACTCTACAGGATAAAGTAGAAACTTCCCTATAGAGTTTGCAAGGCTGCGATATTCACAGAAGGCAACTGCCACATCTTTCTCCCACAGAGTGGCTTGTGGGTTCCACCCTTACCTTTTGGTTAGTGGTTAGCAGCTGAACGCTTAACCACTGCACCACCAGGGCTCATTACCCCAGGTGCCACACCAAACAAAACCAAACCCATTGCCATAGAGTTGAATTCTGTCTTATAGCAACTCTATTTGACAAAGTGGAACTGCTCTACAGGATTTCCAAGGCTACAAATCTTTATGGAAGCCGACTGCTTCATCTTTTTCCCATGGAGCTGCTGGTGAGTTCTAACCTCAGATCTTCTGGTTAGCAGCTAAATGCTTTAACCACTGAACGACCAGCCACCAGCCACCTCTCTAGGCATCACAGCCCTGGAATTCTCTCCCCTCCTGTCTCAGTGCCCTCCAGAGGGGGCACCAGGCTTCTATGTGTGCATTCCTAAGCCTGGAGGGGCCTAGTGTTGCTACTTGGGGGTTGTGTGGATAGAGCCTGGATGTGCAGGAGGCCTGACTGATGCTAAGGAAGAGGAATTTAATGAACAGGCCTTGCATATTGAACACATCTTGCTTCCTAAGACTTCCAGCAGCCATGAAGTTGGTTGTGACAATGACATAAGAGCATTATTGACATTTATAGAGGGGAGAGGCAAGGCTTGGTAAAGGTCCTGCCCTTGGAAGCGTCGTTCTCTTTGCAACGTAATTTTCAAACAACGTAACTTTTGAATATCCCACCAGGATTTATATAGGTGAATAATGTTTCTGATAATCTGATTCTCAGACCCATTGTGTTTTACATTTAAGCACATTTTTTTTTTGGGGGGGGGCATGGTTTTAATATATGCTAAATTTTCCAGGAATGTAACTACAGCAAAGATAGAACTTTTATTGGGAACTTTATTAAGACTGTTCCAGAAAATCTTATTACCAGTACTAACATTTTTAGCTATTACATTCACAATGGAGATACACAGAGAGAAAAAACCCACTGCCATTAAGTTGATTCTGACTCAGTGACCCTACAGGACAGAGTAGAACTGCCCCCATAGGGTTTCCAAGGTTGTAAATTTTGGCAGCAGACAGCCTCATCTTTCTCCCATGGAGCAGCCGGTGGGTTCCGACCACTGACCTTTTGGTTAGCTGCCAAATGCCACCAGAGCTCCTGATAGATACAAACCAAAAGGAAAAAAAAAAAAAAAAAACTCACAACTCACTGCCTTAGCGTAGATTCCAACTCATAGCGACCCATCCTTGGGTTTCTGAGGCAGTGTCTCTACAGAAGTAGATTGTCCAATCTTTCCGAGGAGTGGCTGGTGGGTTTGAACTGCCAACCTGGTTAGCAGTCAAATAAATGCCTTAGGCACTACGCCACCAGAGCTCCCCTGATATAGATACTTCACTTCAAAATATCACTTATAAAGCAATATCAACAATATTTAGTTAAACATTGTTTTACTTATGCAAATTTATTCATTATAAGTAGGTGCAAAATTCTGTCTACATTATGTCTTCCAGTGTTTTGTTACCTATTTTCATATTGGAATACATTATGATAAATTCCCTCTTTCTTTTCCTTGACATAGCAGTTAGATGATCATATGGAGTTTCTGAAATTGTGAGTATAGGTTGATAGATTGTGTTAACTATGATTTATGGTCAGGGAGTGAACAGCTGGACAATATGTGAAAAGATAGCGTTGCCCAACAAACCCGGCCCCTTCGTGCCGCGGGCTCCGCCCCCTGGTGCACGCTCGCGTTCTCTGCCACATTCAACATGGCGGCTGTGCCGCGACGCGGAAGCGCGTGACGGACTCGAGAGCGGAGCGTTCCATTTCTGTCATGGCGGCCCCCGGGCAAACTGCGGTCAGCGGACCTCTGGAGACTTGCAGTCTGGAGCGGATTTCGGAGGCACTGAAGCTGCTGCTGAGCCCGGGAGGTGAGAGGACGAATCTCGGCGCCAGGCTGGACTCGGCTCTCTCAGGGCCGCCAGTCTTGCAGGGCTGCCCTGCCTCCCGCAGCGTGCTCCCTTCAGGCCACAGGGACCCTCCGGCCCAGAGGCCGCCCTCCCCCGCTTTTGGGGGCTTTTGGGCGCCATCTGACCAGCTGCATTTTACCCTTGAGGAAACCGTGGTTCTAGGAGGGCATGAGATCCGTTGAACACTGATGATAGCCAGCATCCTTTGAGCGCTTGCCTTGTGCCAGGCACTGTGCTAAATGCCTTGAGGAAATTATTTCCTTCAGTCCCTCTGAGGAAACAGGTTCAAAGAGGGTGGGCTCGTGATAAATGAAATGACGTCTCCCAATTCTTGAGGGCGCAGGTTGTAACGTGGACACTTGAGATTTGTTCAAAATGCCAGGGAGCCCAGCAGAAAGCACTCAGAAAGCATTGACGTTGGAGCTGGGCTTGAGGATTGTATTTAAGGAATTAAAGTCCAGTGGGAGGGGTTTACAGTCACCTTTGATTATTCGTGGTGAATTGACAAGCTCTTCCCAATTTAGCAGTGGGAGAGAGCACTTTACAAGCTGTTTGCGCTCGGGTACATAACCTCTCTCTCTTTTTAAAATATTCCCTCCAATTCTCTTTTTTCAACACCTGTATTGAAATGTAATTCATGTACCACGCAGTTCACCCGTTTACAGTGTACAATTCAGCAGCTTTCAGAATATTCACACAGTTGTGCATCCTTTATCACCACAATCAATTGTTGAACATTTTCATTACTCCTCACCTCTTAGCTGTCATTCCCTAGCTCCCCTTCTCCCCAGTACCAGTAGCCAGTACAATTCTGACTCATAGCGACCCCATGTGTGTCAGAGTAGAACTGTGCTCCATAGGATTTTTAACGGCTGGTTTTTCTGAACCAGATTGCCAGGACTTTCTTCTGAGGTACCCCTGAGTGGACTGGAACTTCCAACCTTTAGGTTAGCAGCCCAGCTGGCTCCTTTCTGGGATTCCCTTCTTGCCCTTTGCTGTTGTTGCCCTGAATCCTCTTCTTTGCTTCTTCAAGCTTGTTGGCTTTTATTAGTACTTTGACTTTACTAAGAGCCTACCCTCTTAGGCTCTTAGAGGGTAGGCTCTTAAGAGGGTAGGCTCTGGTAGCATAGTGGCTAAGGCACGTGACTGATAACCAGAAGGCTGGTGGTTCAAATCCACCAGCTACACCTGGGAAGGAAGATGGGGCAATCTACTTCCGTAGTGATACTGCCTCGGAAACCCAAGGAGGGGTCACTATGAGTCGGGTCCGACTCCACGGCATATAACAAGAGCCTACCCTCAGGCTAAAAGGGAAGGGAAAGCAGGAAATTGGTCATCGCAGTTTTTTTTCTCCCTGTATGTCAACTCTTTCCCAGTTTTTGCTCATTTTTTTCACTTTCAGATATCTAGAGTTTATAGTTGTTATCTGTGGGTAAGTTGATCTGATAGGAATTATAGCAGATCTTTCTTTATCTCTCCATGCATTCTTTCATTGAATTGACTGACAGATACTCATTTGGTGCCTACTTTATGCCATGTTCAAAGCATTGACCAAACAAGAGAGGCATGATGCAGTTTAAACTCTAGTGGAGAATAAAGGAAATAAATAAAATAATAACAAATAATTAGTGATTGTGTAAGTACTATGGAGAAGATAAATTGGTGTTGTTACAGAGCAAGTAGGGTGGGGTGTGGCTTTTAGATTGGTCATGGAAGGCTGCCTCTGAGGAGACAATACTTAACTTGAGACTTCCAGATACCCTACGGCCTAGCATTTCAACTCTTAGATATACACATAAAACATGTGTGTACACTTCCACCAAGAGACAGGCACAAGATTGTAAAATAGTTCCCCATAAGAAATGAACATGGAATGAATGGATAAAGCAAATTGTGTGGTAAATATATAAACCCTAGTATAATAATCAGTTCATTGGAATACTATTCAGCAATGAAAACGAACAAGTTACAGTTACACACACCAATGTAGATGAATCTTACAAACATAATGTTGAGCAGAAGAATCCAGACATAAAAGAATATATGTATATGATTTAATTTTCATAAAGTTCAAAAACAGGTAAAAGTTCTAGTGGTTAAGAACACGTTTAAGTGTTAAAGAAAAGCAACAAAGTGATTTCCATAAAAGTCAGATTAGTAGTTACCTTTGGTAGCAAGAATGGAGGTAATGATCAGAAGGATGTGATTGAAAGGATGGATGAGGGCTCCTTGGGGAACTAGCAATGCCCTCCTTTTAAATACGGTGGTAATATGGGTGGTGGTTACATGTGAGTTCCCTTTCTGATAGTTCATTGAGCTGTCCGTTTTTGTTCTGTGTATTCTTTTATATGTATATTTAAAAAACACTGAGACCTCTAGGACTGAGCCAGCCTAGGGTTAACACCTGAAAGAGTATTCTAATGTGGAAGTTATAGCAGTTGTCCTGAGTTGGGAGTGAATTTGACCTGTTGTGTGCCTAAGGCATTTGACTGCTAACCAGAAGGTTGGAGGTTCAAATCCACCAGCCACTCCGTGGAAGGAAGACTGGGAAATCTACTTCTGTAAAGATTTACCGACTCGGAAACCTGAAGGGGGTCACTATGAGTTGGAATTGACTTGATGGCAGTATGTTTGGTTTTAGTGTTGATGTACTAGAAAGAGACCCATGTGGCTGACATGTAGAGAACCAGAGATTGAGTGGAATGAGACAAGACTGGAGAGGTTGTAGGAACTAGATCATGTAGAGCTTTACAACATGGTAAAGAAAGCTATTTTAAATATTAAGAAATCCCTTTTGCTGGTGTGTGGAAAGTAGTTTTTTTTGGGGGGAGGAGTATAAATAGGGAAAGCAGTTAGGAGGCTGTTGGAGTAGTACAGTGTAAAGATGATTATGGCTTATATAAAGATTGTGATGGTGAGATGGAGAAAAGTGGATGGATTTGAGAAATATTTTGGAAGCAGAGTAGACAAAGCTGGGTGATAGACTGGTTATGGGAAATCAGAAAAAGAAATGGAAAAGACTGGGGTAAGTAATCAGGTTGGATTGCAGCAGGGAGGAAGCGGGGCATGATGAGAATCAAGAATTATATTTTGTCCTGTTGAATTTGAGATGCCTAAGAAAGCTCTGGTGGCACAATGGTTAAGTGTTCAGCTGCTAACCAAAAGGCTGGTGGTTTGAACCCACAAGTCATTCCAGAAAAGAAAAGACCTGATGATCTGCTCCCATAAAGATTACAGCCTGGGACAGTTCTTCTCTGTCACATTGGGTCACTATGAGTCAAAATCGACTCAATGGCACACAACAAGAGGAAATATCCAGGTGAAGATGTCAAGTAGCAGTTGGAAATATGTATTTGGAGCTTAGAGGGTAGACGTAAACTGGAGACGTAGATTTGGGAGTTGTTAGCTTCTCGATGGGGGCTCTGATAGCATGGTGCCAAAGGCGTTTGACTGCTAACAAGAAGGCTGGTGGTTCAAACCCATCAGCCACTCCTTAGAAGGAAGACTGGGCAATCTACTTCCATAGAGATACCACCTTGGGAATGCAAGGAGGGGTCGCTGTGACAGCAGTGAGTTTCGGTTTTTTCTTTTTAAAGACATGGGCCTGATAAGATCATCTAAGAAGAGAGGACAGGACCCAGGCCCAGGCCCTGGAGCATTTAGATATCTGCTAGAGGAAAAGGAGCCAGCAGAGGAGACATGGAGGAAATGGACATAGAGGTAGGAAGAAAACCAGGAAGATGTGTGTCCCGGAAGCCAAGAAAGCAGTGTTTCAAGGGTAATCAGCGGTGTCAGCTGCTGTTTAGAATGTGTAAGGTCTTCCTCACCAGCAGAGGGCAGGAAAGACCATGTTAGGAAACACCAGGAAAAGCTGAAAGATTTTTTTTTTTTGGAGGAGGTATTAATTCCTTTGAACCCTATATCTATTTTTTTTTGTGATTCCATGAGGGAAGGGACTTTTTTTTTTTTTGTTGTTGTTGTTGTTCAATGCTCAGTTCCTAGAGAAGTTCAGCCGAGTTAATCATCTGTGGTAAATGTTCAGTTTTTTAATTTCTGATTATAATGTAAGCCGTGTAAGATGACTGGGTCATGGTCTCTGCCCTCAAACACTGCAGGAATAGAAATAAACTAAATGAAGTATAAATAATATGTTAGGTACACTTCCAGTTACATCCAAAGTGCTATGGCAGGACAGAAAGATGGTCTTGAGTTTTGCTTACGCTGGCGTGGCATGGGGAGCTCTGGCAGTGTATGCCTAAGGCATTTAACTGCTAACCAGAAGGCTGGTGGTTCAAACCCACCAGCCACTCCTCAGAAGGAAGGTTGGGCAATCTTCTGTAGTGATACAGCCTTGGAAACCCAAGGAGGGCTTGCTATGAGTCAGATCTGACTCCACGGCAGTGGTTGCGTTTTGCGTTGTGTTGGAGTGGCATGACTCGGGGAAGCTTTCCAGAGGTAATGACATTTTAGCTAGTTCTCAGAGGATGAACTGGAGTGGGCAAGGCATTCCACACAGAAGAAAGTACAGTTTGTTTTCAATGTATATAACCTCTTTTTTTTTCTTTAAAAGGATCGGGCTCAAGTTCGCTACAGATCACAAAACATGATGTCTTGTTGGCTACCTTAAAATCTAACCTGTCTGCTTTGGAGGACAAGTTTCTGAAGGATCCTCATTGGAAAAAATTGCAACTTTTGAGAGATGAAATTGCAAATAGGGTAGAATGTCCACAAAACTCTGTGGACATCACCTGGAGTTTTACCTATCAAACCTTATTGCTGCTTTTGTGCCTAAAGGAAACCATGTTCCACCTTGCAGCTGATTTCAATCCAGGAAAACCCAACCCTAGGACTCCAGAAGTTGCTCCTGCTCTGAGCCCTGATACACTTAGTATCTCACAGCAGAAGACTGTCCAGTCAGTTTTGCAATTTGTAGTTACCTTAGGTATCTGCCCCTATCTCATGCCTGGTGTTGGAGTCCCTTTGAGATACAGAACTGATTTTGTTGCTGTTGTTCAAGACGTCGTATGTCTCGATGCTGTCCCCAGTCCAACCCGGAGACTGTATACCAGCTGTAGGCTCCTCCTAAATGTTGCTCAGCATGCATCTCTTGGGAACTTGATTTTCTGCCGCCATTTTGGGGATATTGCAGCAGGACTGTGCCAACTGGGATTCTCCCCAAGCAAAAGTAAACCACTAAAGCCTATGGAAGAGGTAAGGTACATTAAGTGTGTGTGTGCAAGCATGTGTATGTATTTGTGTATGGTTGTCATGAAAGACAATTCTTTACAAAATGGCAGACTAAAAGTCCTAGAATTCTTATTGAATGTCAAAGCTTATCCACTGGATAAATGAATCTTTTTAGGGGAGATAGAGCTTTCATTTATTGGATGTCAGTCCTTTGCACGCCTGGAGATTCCTTTTCACCCACACTTTGCCATTTTGTATAACAGTTCTTTTTTTTTTTTTTCCCCAGTAGCCAAGGAGTCATTTATTTTTCTATTCATTCATTCACTGAGTGCCTTCTTAGTAATACTACTAGCAATGTTGTTGTTAGTTGCCATTGAGTTGGCTCTGACTCTTGGTGACTCCAAATACAACAGAACGAAACATAGCCTAGTCCTGTGCCTAGTCCTGTCCTGCAGTCCGTTGTGGTAGCCACTGTGTATTTTGAGTGCCTTCCAACCTAGGAGGCTCATCTTCCCACACTATATTGGGCAGTATTCTGTTGTGATCCATAAGGTTTTCATTGGCTAATTTTTCGAAGCAGACCACCAGGCCTTTCTTGCTAATGTGGAACAGCTGTTATAGACTATTTTTTTGAGCCATTGTTTCTCTTGTGTAAAATGTGCATAATAATATCTGCCTTGGATGGTGGTTGTGAGGATTAAGGAATGTATGTAAAGAACCTAACTCAGTCCCTAGTAGTGCTTATCAAAAATAATTGCCATTAATGTTAGTTTTAAACTATTTATACCTCCTTCATGAAGTTCTTGGGAGGATTAGATGAGATCAAGTCTGTAAAGCACCTGGTGTGCTGCATGACTACTCAGTGTTCATTATTATTAGGTATTGTATGTAGGAGTCCCTGGGTGGCACAGACGGTGCAGCACTTGACCACTAGCCAAAAGGCTGCTTTGAACACATCCAGGGGCACCTCGAGAGACAGGCCTGGGGCTCCGCTTCTGAAAGGCCCCGGCCTTGAAAACCCTGCGGAGCACTTGTATCTGCACACGTGGGGTCGGAATCGACTAGGCAACAACAACAGAACTGTTGTCCTTAACAGTTCTTAACTGTTGTTGCTGATTTTTTGTTGTCAGTCAGTAAGCATTTGAGCACCTGAACTAGTGACGGTGCTGTGAAGGTTACAGATATGTAAGACATGGTCATTCTGAAGAGAATGACCTCATTAGGAAGAGAAGACTGATTAGAGAGACAAGACTCACAGGTGTGACACAGGAAGGGCCACTGCTTTCTCCATAAGAGGACCAGCATGAACATAGGAACCTAGCTAGAAGAAGCTCTAAGATGCAGATGTATCTATGGTCAGGACAGCTCTTATGCAGGGTACTTACTGTAGCTTGGTCATAATGCCTACATACCTCATTTATCTGTCACTTTCCTGTACCACCTTCCTACTTGTTCCTTTTCTAGTCCCTATTGCAGTGTAGTAAATTACTTAGTATGGCTTTTGTGCCCATAAGTCATTGCTCAGTAGTGGAAGAGCAACTGAGGAGCTCCTGATTGTAAACGTTATCCACCTGGGTTATTTCTGTTGGGCGTGGCACAACACAATGTTATGGGAGGCTCACTCTCAGGTGCTTAGAATTCTGTTGTTATGATTGGTTGGTTTGGCCACTCTGCCAAGCTCCAGAGGAGGCCTCCTAGAGGCGGAACTCTCTTTGACTGCTGGTTGAGGAAGACGTGCTGCTGAAAGAGACACACGCTGCTGGGAAAGAGACGCAAGAGACATGCATTGCTGAGTGAGACACCGAGGGACACGCACTGCTGGGAAAGAGACTGTGAGAGACTGTTGGCTGAGGGACGGTGGGCTGGAAGAGAGACTGTTTTTCCTGAACTTGAATTGTAGCCTGGTGCTTCCCTAATAAATCCCATAATCTGTGAGTTCTGTGTGGCCACTGCAGTGAATTATCGAACCCAGGAGAGAGGTGGTGGGTGCTTTGGGAGGAACAGTTGGAGAAAGGGCTGGAGGGAGGCAGCATGTCTGGCCTTGCCATAATAGGCCTTGGGCTATTGATGGTGCTTCTGCCTTCCTCTTGTGGGGTTCTAGGAGGTCAGAACATGTGGCCTCCTTGCCCTTTTTGCACCTATTCTGCTTATGTTCGTAAACATTTGCCTAAGAGCCACTATCATCTAAGCAGTGACACAAAATTAGGAACTCTCCCAGTGCCTTTATGTTATATGGAGCAGAGCATAACTCTAGGGTTATGAGCACTGACAATTTTATTAGTGCCTACCGGCTGCACTTTGCTGAGATAGGGGGATTTGGATTAACAAGTCTTTACTACTGTTATTGGGACTAAGCAGTGGTCCAGCAGGAAAGGGAAAAGAAAATGGAAATAACAGTAGGAGAAGGGGTTGACAGAAGGGGAAACAAGCTGGGTACACATGATGAAGCTTGACAGAGTCCCACCAATAGCTGCTACTCTAAGCAGAGTCCTGACTACTTGACTGTGAGCTTAGTAATTACCCAAAGGGGACATTACTACGGAGCTCCAGAGGGCCCAATAAATAGCACCCCTCTTCCTTGCTCAAGTTCTGAATCAATTAAAAGTAAAGTAACAGAATTAAAGAGATGAAAAATCAAAATGTCATTTCTATTACTTTGAAGGTGAAGTTGGAAGATATAATTTATTTAAGGAGACAAATGGTCTTCCTAACAGTTCACTCAGAATTAGACATTTTACTCACCCAGTTTTAAGGAGTGATAGGGTTGCTGTGAGTCGGAATCAACTTGATTGACTTGATGGCAGTGGGTTTTGAATTGATTGTGGAAAACTACACTGCCCTCTGCCCCATGGCTGGGGATATGCCTCTGTAAAATGTGCAGCAAGAAAGGAGGAACCAAATGTGCGCTGGCTCCCAAGAGAGAAGGGAACAGCTGAGCTGTGCATACCAAACTCAAAATGAGTGTCTTCCCAACTTACTGATAAGTCACGTCTTTGCCCAGAAGTGGAATGTGTAAGGGGATGGAAAGGGGGCAGTAGTACAGCTTTCTCTATGTAGAAGGAAATCAAGAGAGGAAAGCATTCCTTCTTCCCCCTCACAAGTATCTTTGTACAGTGTTACAAAGCCTTACCTTCTAACGACTGCTTGCCTGGTTTGTATTCCACTAAAGCCAAGTGTGTGTTTCTTTCAGGTTTTAAATGAAGAGGAAAGAGCCCTGTCTAGGGGGGCCTTGAGAGACATCTTGGATCAAGTGTATCAGCCATTAGCAGTCCGGGAATTACTTATCCTCCAGGGAGGACCACCCCAGGTATTCAGGCTGGGACACTTGTATGGGTAAATCTTAATGATAATGTCTCGTGATGCTTTCTTCTTCAGGGAAATTAGATAACTGTTCTTCCTCATTTAATAGTCTAACCCACTAACCCACTGCCACTGAGTCAATTCCAACTCATAGTGACCCCCGTTGGGTTTCTGAGGCCGTAAATCTTTATGGAAGTAGATTGCCCTCTCTTCCTTCTGTGGAGTGGTTGGTGGGTTTGAACTGCCAACCTTCTGGTTAGCAGTCAAATGCCTTAGGCACTGTGGTAGTATGTTTGTTTGTCAACTTGGCTGGGCCTGGTTGAGTGGTTGGGCAGCTGGAGGTAGTTGTTCCCCATGATGAGACTGGCAATCAGCTTCATGGTGGGATCTACTATAAGCAGCTGAGTAGCTGCCTTTGGGATGTGGTCTGCTTCCTGTATTTAAGGAGAAGCCTTGGGAATGGTCTCTGACCTATGGCACGCTTGGACCCTGCATGTAGCCGTGTTGTTGCTCAGCAGTCTGCCATGTTCTGCCGACCCTGGGACTTAAATGGACCTAAGTTAATGGCCTGCCATGTGGTTTGGTAACATCGGGACTGTGCCTTTTTGCTTGTCAACCTTGGGGCTTCTCAGCCTCAGCAGCCAGCAGCTATCTGAGTGAAGAAACGCCTCTAGCTCCAGTGGGCCGGGAGCAGGAGGCAGAGCTGTAATCCAAGGTTGAGGGGCTTTCACCCAGTCTCTAGAGCCTGGCACTTTGAACTGGACTTAAATCCTCCAAATTTTAAGAATAAACTCCTGTTTGTTAAGGCCATCCCATTTGTGGTATATTCTTGTCAGAGCAGCCCTAGGTAACCAGAATAGGTACTATGCCACCAGAGCTCCTTATTCAAAGATTAAGGTATGTAAGTATTTCTGCCAAAAGAATGGATTGTCAAATAGCCAAATTTTAGTTAAAAAAAAAAAAAAATCCAGGTTCAGAATATAAATATTAAGTTCTCCTTTAAATAAACTGCCATAAGCTTTAAAGAGTGGTATTATTAGAAAAAAGCATCCATTGTTCCATTAAAAAAAGTAATCCTTTTAAATTATCCTAAGGGTCAGTGTAACTTAGTTTTAGAAATACCACTTAATGATCTAAAAGATGATATAAGGCTCAACTAGACAATTCAATAAGGAGCACTGGTGGTGCAGTACCTAAGGCATTTGACTGCTAACCAAAATGTTGGGCAGTCTACTTCCGTGAAGATTTACTGCCTTGGAAACTCGGAATCGACTTGATAGCAAGTGAGTTCAGTTTTTTGTTTTCTTTGAATGGAGTATCTGAAGCCAAGAAATTACAACTAATAAGGTTTAATTTTCTTTTTTTTCCCCTTAAAATATTTATCCAGTTATTTAATTTTGTGATGCAGGTAGGATTATCTGTTTGCTTTTCATACCTAAATTTTAGTCATAAATCTAGGTTAGCAAGGGAGCTCTGGTGGCGTAATGCCTAAGGCATTTGACTACTAACCAGAAGGCTAGTGGTTCAAACCCACCAGCCATTCCTTAGAAGGAAGGTTGGGCAATTTATTTCCGTAGTGATATTGCCTGGGAAACCCAAGGAGGGGTCACTGGGAGTTGGCTCCGACTTGATGGCAATAAAAGTGAGAGAGGTGAGCAAAGAGTGAGGGGTCAAAGGAAGTAGCTGTAAGTTAGGAACAATGACCTGCTGAAGCTGACTACAAAGATCTCTCCTAGTTGGAGTCCTTCTCCTCTCCTGCCCAGAATACTACTATAACCTTTCATTGGGCTTTCCTGGCCTCCACTTCTCTGAATGAATACACAGTTTGCCAGATTAAGCAAACACACTATCAGAGTGTCTTAGAAGCACAGGCTCTGGGGTTAGCCCCAGGGTGCTGTTGTATAAATCATGTCTCTCAGTTTTCTTACTTATAAAATGGAAATAATAATAGTGCCTTCCTTATAAGTCCCTTTTGAGATTATGTGGGAAGTACTTAGCCCAGTGCCTGGTATATCATAACCCCTTAATAAATGGTAATTATTAATTCTTAAATAAAATAGAAGGTAGGCTGGTTAGGATTAAATGTTTCTGTCACTAATTTTTATGCTCATATAATTACCTGCAGTGATTGACAACAGCATGCTTAATCTAGCCTAAAATGAGGGACATCAAGTCTGTTTTGTGCACAGTGGCCCCAGAGAGCTCTCATAAAGGAGCCCTTGAAGAAATCTAATTCTTTCTTGAAATTTCTGTGCCGTAAGAGCTCAGAACTGGGACCATGGAGGCAAGGGCCAGAGTGCTCCCTCGCTGTGGTGAATGTTGTTCATAATACTCTTCTTTGGGAGCTAGATTTGATTGGAAGGCCTGGATTCAGAGATTAATTGGACTAAGTTTGTGTTCCCAAAGTCTTCATTTTATTCCTGATGTGTTTGTTTATATGTGGGTTTGAAATTTCACTTGATATTTCTTGAGTAGTGTATTTCTACTTTTTTAAAAATTGTGCTTAAAAAAAGAAAAAATAATGCTGAAAAGTTTTGTGAATGAGAAGACCTTTCAAAGAAGTATTGCTCCTTTGAAGTCTGTATAGCACACTATTAATTGTTAGACTCAGTGATTCAGCATTAAAAATATAATAATTTCCACATACTGTTCTGTTTCACTGACATGAAGATTTCCTATTTTTCCCTTTCTATTTCTGTAGCCCTGCACAGGTGGGAAGACACAGTTTGGGTCTCGGTCCCCAGCTTGGCTTCGGCGTCTATGTGGGCAGCTGCTTTCTGAGAGGTTAATGAGACCCAATGGTGTTCAGGCGGTAGTGAGGGGCATTTTGGAAGGAGCAGGGGGTAAGAAATAAAATGTTTCTTTTACTTTGGTATGTATTTTCCTTTGAGTCAGAATCTAAGATGTATTTTTGGTCTTTAGTATCTGTCTTTAAAACCTGATTGAAACTCAGTTGTGCCTTTGAGGCGATTGAGGAAGTTAAACTTGGAGGGCCTTAATGAACTTCCTTTAAATAAGGTCACGCTCCTGTCATTTAAAATTTTTATTAATTTATTTATTTGTTGTTGAGACTATACAGCACAACATATGCTACTTCAGCAGTTCAATTCAGTGACATTGATGATTCTTCAAGTTGTGCAACCATTCTCACCCTCCTTTTCTGAGTCATTCCTCTCCCACTAACATAAACTCACTGCCCAGGAAGGATCCCATCTATTCTTTGCTGTTGTCAAGTTGATCCCATGTAGATAGATCTTAGAAGAGCATAATGCTCATGGCAGTCATTTTTTACTAGTTAAGCTAAACTATTGTTTTCTTGTCATTTTTTAAAAGTAGTGTGATTCACTGCTCATGTTGTTGAATAATGTTTTATGATATTTTAGGAAACTAGAAGAAAACAAGGAGCTCTGGTAGTGTAGTGCCTAAGGCACTTGACTGCTAACCAGAAGGCTGGTAGTTCATACCCACCAGCCACTCCTCAGAAGGAAGGTTGGGCAATCTACTTCCATAGAGATAGCACATTGGAAACCCAAGGAGGGGTCGCTATGAGTCTGTTCCGACTAGATGGCAAATAGCAAGAACAACAACAGCAGAAGAAAACATAGAACATTGAAATAAAAACCTGAAACGAAGTGGTGAAATTCTCTGCGGAAAAGGGATTTGTACCAGAGTGCTAAAGATTACTTAACTTCAAGACTTAAAATATAAAATAGTTCTCTTAAAGCTGGATATACCTTTGCGATGCAAACTTTGAGATGAAGTTTTAGATGAACTTCCCCTATTATATTATCCATGTCCTTGTTAACAGAAAAAGTTAACGATCATGCTAAGCTTGGTAGTAGTTTATATTTTTGTTTTATTTTTAAAATAACATTATACATGCACATAGTTTAAAGAGTCACCTAGGCCTACAAGGCTTATGCTGAAAAATATCAGCCCTCAACATCACCCAACTCCATTTCCCATCCCCAGAAGTAGTATACTTTAATTTTTCACCCAACATTTTGTACTTCCTGGAGTTAGTAATGATCTTTTTTACTACTTTGCTTAGTTCTCTATGTACTCATCATTTATTTATTCCTGAACTCCCTACCAATTGCTTAAATTTCCTGCTAATTCATTCATATATATATTCTTAGTTTTATCCTCTTGAAAATCTCTCTAAGTCTTCTGATTGATCTAATCTGGGGTACTGTCTACACATTGATCGTTCTGGGATTTCCTTTCACTTTCATCCTGGTGATCCCTTTGCCTTTCTTTTATGTTCTGTCCCTTACCTCCTGTATCCTATGTGTATTAGTTTGCTTTTGCTGCTGTGACGAATCACTACAAACTCAGGGGCTTTTTTTTTCCTGCCATGGAAATGCCACTTAAATTGAGCCTGGAAGATGGAGTCAGAATTTACTAGGTGAAGAGTGAGGGAAAACTATTATAGGCAGAGGGAAGAGCATGTATGAAGTAAATAATAAATAAATAGGAAACAGCATAGTGTTTTTCAGGAAATTTCAGATCAATGAGGGCAGAGAGCAGAAAGAAAGTGGTGTGAGATGAGGGTGGAGAGGTGGACTGCAGCCACATTATGCAGGCTGTTTAGGCCGAGTTCAGGACTTTGAGCTTTATTCTGAGGGCAATGAGAAACCGTTGAAGGGTTTTAAGGAGGAGAGAGAAAGACGTGCTTAGATTTACACATTAGAAATATCTGTGTAGATGTAGTATGAGGCATGGTAAGAGCAGAAGCAGGGAAATCAGTTAAGAGATTGTGGTGGCTTGGATCAGTGTGATCCAAGGAGCAGTTTGGAAAGAAGTAAATCAGTTGGAGAGAGATTTAAGGGGCCACATTATCAAAACTTAATGGAGGGTTGGATACGTGGGCAGTGAGGAGAGGAGAAGAATCAATCTACTTTTCCACTTCGGACTTGGTAAATGGACCTTGGTTCTGTTGGATAAAGGTGAGGTTAATGTGGTTGGTAGACACCGATAAATTTGGTCCAGAGTGACTGCAAGAGTTTTTCCCCTCAGTTCTGCAGTGGCTTCTGTTGTTGTTGTTGTTGTTATGTGCCGACTCATAGCGACCTCTCCTTGAGTTTCCAAGGTAGTATCACTACAGAAGTAGATTGCTCAGCCTTCCTTCCAAGGAGTGGCTGGTGGGTTTGAACTGCCAGCCTTCTGATTAGCAGTCAAGTGCCTTAGACACTACACTACCAGAGCTCCCCCTACAGTGGCTTCTAGGGCAGAAAAATTATCAGTTGCCTCTGAGAAGTTGTTACATGCAAATAGATTCTTGCATCTTCCTTTTCCAAAGAAGGATTAAAAAAAAAAAAGAAAAAACTCACTGCCGTGGAGTGGAGTCGTACAGACACATAGCGACTCCTCCTTGGGTTTCTGAGGCAGTATCTCTGCAGAAGCAGATTGCCCAGTCTTCCTTCAGAGGAGTGGCTGGTGAGTTTGAACTGCCAGCCTTCTGGTTAGCAGTCAAATGAATTTACCAAAGGCCATGTCAATTGGAGAGATGCTGTAAGAAAATTGGAACCCTCTGTTTGCTGTTTTTTTTTTTTTTTTTTTTCTGCTTATGTAGATATGGATTTGTTATCTATTCATACTTGGTTTCTTTTCAAAAATAGTTTCAATTTTTTACCCTAGTATTTGCCATTTCTGGTGCTCTTCATCTCTGTTTGGATCCCAATTTCAGTCCAAATCTCCTTCTGCCTGAAGCCATTTCTGTTCCATTTCTTACAGTATAGCTCTGCTGGCTTAGCTTTTGTTTGTCTGAGGCAGTTTATTTCCCTCTCCCTTTTGAAGCACACTTTTGCTGGGTTCAGAATTCTAGGTTGACAGTTTTTTCTTTCAGTACTTGAACCTGGTTTCTGACAAGAAGACATCTGTCATTTTCATCTTTGATCTTCTGCATTGTGTACCTTTTTTTCTCTGGGTCCTTTTAAGATTTTTTTGTTTATTACTGGTTTTTAGAAATTTGACTATGGTTTTCCTTGGTGTGGTTTTCTTCATGTTTCTTCTGCTTAGTATTTCTTGAACCTCTTGGAGCTTTGGTTTTCATCAAATTCAGAAAAATTTCAACTATTATCTTCAGATATTTTTTCTGCCCTTTCCTCTCTCCTCTCTTTCTGGGCTTTGAGTTACACCTAATACTATACTTTATGTTGTCCTACAATATCATCTTTTCCAGTGTTTTTTTCTCTATCTCATCTGTATCATGTCTGTTTCTATGTCTTCACTGATCTTTTCTTTGGTAGTATCTAATCTAAGGTAAGGTAATTTGGCCCCATTACTAAGACAGTACCTTCTGAGGATTCTACTTGATGCCCTGTGTGTAGTAGGACATCTTTTCATGCTGGCTAATGGAAGCACAGCTATTCCCAACACCATGTGAGCTTTCCGGTGGTTCTTGCCCCTGCATCGTGAATTTTTCTCACATGCATACACAGATCATGTTCTGCCAAAACTTAAAAGAAGATGCTTCTGCAGATCTCCAAAATTCTCTATCCAGGCAGCTCTCCCCTAAAAATTTTAGCCACCTTGGTCTCCATGAACTCTGAACTCTGCGTCTTCAACTCAGTGAGATGCCAGCTTCATTTGGGTACCTTTTTGCTGTGCTCTGGCCTGAAAACTCCCTCTTGGTCTATGCTAGGGCAGTCCTAGGGCCCATTTTGTTTGCTTCTCTTCTCTCAGGGATCAGGGTCCTGGGCTGCCTGTTCAGTGTCTGGAAACCATTGTTCTTACATTTTGTCCAGTGTTTTAATTTTTAGGGTAATAAGGTATATGTCCCTGTTATTCCATCATGGCTGTAGTTTAAGGCAGTTTAAATGAAATGATAACATATAAAAAGACAGTACAATAATAATAATAAAAATAAAAATCATAAACACTGAGAAGAAGCTAGTATTCAAGTCGTATGAATAATACCATTACAATGTTTACCCGTATCTGTTGCCAATTCTGACTCATGACGACCCTGTAGGCAGAGTAGAACTACCCCACAGGGTTTCCAAGGCTATAATTTTTTTTATTTTTATTTTTATTTTTTTTAGGATTTGGGTGAAGATGTACAGAGTAAATTCACTTTTCATACAGCAGTTCACATATACTTTGTCTCATGTCATTGACCAAAATTTACAATGC